CTTGTCTTACCTGATTAAAAAAGGAGGGGGTTTGACGGACTTTTGGGATACTGAACCACCCGATTTCAGTCAATGCTTAGTGCATAGGTATTTAATTATTGCACATATATGTACGATTTTAGGGACCCAACTGAGAGGTTTAATTTTCTCGGTAATAAAAAAGTATAAAATACGATGATTGGTGGTGGATGAAGGGGGGTGGGGCACGGGCCTAATAAACATGTATGTATATTGTTGATTTTGCAAAAGTATAGTTGTAAAAATTGGTTAGTGTTGCAAGTGTCCCAATGACAACACACGATGGATCCGTTCGGGAATCTACCTACACGTGAAACCTTTTTCAATGGGAGTCGTTTGGGAACAAACAATGAATGGGAGGCTTTTAGGTTGCACCGTTATTAGCAGATAGGTAGGGTCTACTATTTGTGGTACCTATTTTTTTTGAGGCGCGAGGATTACTACACTCGGGCGCATGTAAATACCGCCCAAAATGAACTACAGGTAAAATAAGGTACATGTAAATTCCGCCCGAAAAAAAATACAGGTAAAGAAACATACATGTAAATTCCGCCCGGAAAAATGTATAAGTAAAAAGTTCTTATTACTTAATGATGTTTAAAAGTTTAAAGTTACTTTTTTTTGAATTTTTCAATCAAAACCTTATAGGTATAATAGGTTAATAAAGAATACATTTATTACTTACTGTTAATAAACACATTTCTGAATGTGTCTTATTAATCATATTATTGTATTTATCATAGTAATAATTATAAAAGAAAATATAACAATCATAATATTATAGTAAAATTATCATAATCAATAATTAGCACAATATATATAAAAGTATTAAAAATCGTAAAATAGTAAAAATTATAATAATAAATACGAGTCAAAATAAAATCATCATCAATAATTAGCACATATTATTATAAGTCGTGTATATTGTATAGCATATACAATTTTAAAAATTGTTAAAATAGTAATAATTATAAAAGTAAATATTTGAGATGCGATTGTTCCGTGTTCGAACATTTTGTGACTTACTAAATACCAATACTATAAGTTATAACACGCGCCGCGTCGCGAAAGTACGGTCGCGTCGTACAGTACTACAGTCACGGAACGCTTAGTTTAAAAATATTTATTTTTCCGGGCGGAACTATTTTTGTACCTGTATATTTTTTCGGGCGGAATTTACATGTACCTTTTTTACTTGGATATTTTTCCGGGCGGAATTTACTATAGACCTTGTTTTTACCCGTTCATTTCGGGCGGAATTTACAATCTCCCCTACACTCATACATCTATGTAGTCACTAGTCAGGTATATAGAGATTATAAGTGAAAAAGGAACTTCTAAAGTAAAGTACTTTTCCTATTTTATTGAATATTTTATATATGCTATATTATATAATAATATATATACATTTAATATTTTTATGTTTTATAATATATTATTATATTAATATTTAATAATGACGTTAATGAATTACTTTATGTGTTTTTGGGAGTGGTAAAATTTGGATTGCCTTAAGCAAACGAAAATTTATATGAGGTTCTCAAATAGTGACATAACGTTTGGATCAATGCGTTAGAATTGGGAAGAGGCATTGCAGGCTATTTGCAGCTGATTTCGGGCACTCAACCATCTTCAACCCATGGCCCGCTTTAACTTTATTTGAGGCCCGTGAACTATTTTAAGCACAGCATGATGTTATAACACATTTTTAATAATTTAATAGTTGTTTTATTAAAAATACGACCCATGAGATTTTTAAAAAATAATATTTGGACCAGTAATTAAACATTTTGATGACGCCTCACGCTTATACTACAGCTATAAAATATTTGACTACATCCGAATTGCATGCCAAAAAATAACGAATTTGGTCGACAACCGAACCGTGTGCACTGATTTTTCGTGACAGGTTCGAATTGAGTGCTTAAAATTTTGAACTACCGGTTTTTGCCTACCTGAATGGCTGCACGTTTATCTTATAGTAAATAGTATAGTGTAAGATGTGTATTCTTAAAGGGACAAGGTTGGCGAATGACGATTAAATAAATATGTAATTTGATAAGTATATAATGCAATCATGATGTAAAATAATAATATAGAATTATATATAAAAGTTAGCATCGAGATTGATTGTGTGACAAATAAAAAATAGATATTGGATACATTTGTATTGATATGACCTATGCTATTCCACTTGTATTTTTTTTAGTATTATACATCTAATCAGTTTTACTTAGGTAATATTAAATATGTCACTAGTGTACATACCATATATAACATATATGGTCATATTTTACAAAGATCAGTTTTGTCACAAAAAAATCCGAGCACGGAATTTGACCTAGATACCTAATGATACCTAATGATTTTTGCACCCATTTTGGAAACACCGCCGAAAATATATTATAGTTACTACTTAGGTACTAGTGTACTATTGGTAGGCAGTGTTGAGTATGTTACTATTAAAAAGTAATTAAGTTACCTACTTTACTCGTTACTAAGAGATAAATGTAATTACGTTACTTTACTCTTTACTCAAATAAAATTGTAATGAAATTACTTTACTTTTCGAATAAAAAAGTAGCTCATTACTTTCTCGTTACAAAAAAAAAAAATATATATATTTCTTGGCTATTATCTTCTGCAGGCAAATTAAACAAGCAAATTCTTTATAAAACCTGTATAGTTAATAGGTTCCTATAAAACTTAGTCTTCCACACAAGCTATTCATATTAAACCTATTTAAAGGAATCAAATTAAATAATAAATTTAATTAACTGTTTTCGTGATTTGTAGGGTGAAATTAGATATATGAAATGTCGAAACCATTGAAAACTGAATTGTGGCGAGTTAAAATTAAATTTATATACCACGGACTAATATATAGTCGGTGATATATACATATTAGATTGGTAAACATAATAATACCCTCATTATACATATTATGTTTTTTTTTTTCAATTCGCAATAAGTTGGCAGGTACTTAATAATTCGAAACTATAACGCTTTATTCTAGAGAAATTACTTTTCAAAAGTAATTTACATTACATTTTCGTTACTTGGAAATAATTCTAATGAAATTACGTAAAGCGTTACTTTCGTTACGTTACTACCCAACACTGCTAGTAGGTACTAATTAATAAATATTATGGTTTCCTTTATTATTTAATTAGTAACATGAAACAGTATCATATTTTTTAGCAAATACCTACCTATTCATCTCATACATTTTTGTTATATGCAATCATATTATATTTATTCGTTTTCGAGACGATGATATTGTTTTTACTGATTTACTGTTTATATTAGAATATTAGATTCCTGCCATTGCCAGTATTCGTGAAGGTTAATGTTGATCAGGTTTTGTTGTATAATAGTAAGTACAACCTGTATTGAATAACATGAAATACTTACCTAGAGTTAGAGTCTAGGATGTAAGTCTAGGATGTAGGAACACTCTTAAACAAGTTGTGTCATGATCTTATACTATTGGAGATACAAGAGATTTGATCCGTCGGACTAGATCTGCTGGTAACTTTCAGATCTTTAAGTTCCAACCCAATGTTTAAGTGACGAAGTCTTAAATCCTTACACCTAGACACCTAATTTATGATGTTAGTTTTTCGGTTTTTTTTATATAAAACCAACAATTAAAAATGTTTATAAAACTTTTTCCATAGTTATTTAAATCAAAAAATAATGTAAAATTGATTATAAAATTTATATATACTTCAAGATACATAATTTCAGTTTTAAACTTGTGGGGGGGGGGGGGGTGTAAAATTAATATTAGATCATGAATCAAGTATTTAATTATTAGCTTACTACCTACTTACAACTTACTACTATCAAGACCAATTGGCAGATGTTCGTATTCAATATATTTTGTACATTGTACAATGTGCAAGTGGTTACATAATATTTGATTCATACATAATGTATTTAATCTTAATATAAAAATAAAATTCATAGAAATTCATAATTCATAAATATTTATCACGGACTAAGATATAATGGACTGGAAACGAGCAGCTTATCATGGCCACGAATGTATGTACAAGAGGCAAAGTGCGGGGGTCGCTATCTGTTCTTGGAGTTCACAGCGCCCTCTGTATTTAACACGGACTAAGATACAAATTGTGTAGCCAAATAAAACCACCGGTAACGCTGAAAACTTCAAGAACAGTATTCTTATCAGCTAAGTGACATCTTTTCGTGGCCGTCCCCCGATCCCCGCCGACCATGTCGTTTCCAGTCCATTATATCTTAGTCCGTGATATTTATGAACATACCTATCAATTTTGTAATGTGTATTACCATCGTATCACTGGACTGGGACGTGTGTTCATTGGTTTACATTTCTTATCAACCACGATTACATATTACCAAACGGAATAAACCTCTTCTTTGTTCGCGGTCAAAATAAGAATCGAAAATCAACTATCGATAGTATGATAGTATAACCAACAAATTTCACTTTTTAAAAAATAAACGAGGTTAACGGAATTCACGTTTTGTTGTTCCTTTATTTCGTTTCACTGTACTGAACGGCGTTTACTGTTTAGTGTTTAGTGTCCTGTGGCCTGGGTTAGTGTGTTACCTGGTGCTGTGCGGTTCCGTTGTTCTTTCTTGTTGATCGCGTCCGGTGTTAGCGATTAGGGCTAATGATTAATTATCTAATTTTTATTGTTAAACTGTAATTTTCATTATTATTATTGATATGTTCGAGTAGAACAATTGCTTGAAATTATTATTACTTTGAGTGTTTACTGTTGGTGTTTTTTTTTGGATGAATAAGTTTAAAGTAAGTTCCAACGCATTTATTTGAAAATCGGTTAATAATTTAAATATAAACACTGTTATTATTACGTTTATTGATTTTTTTATTTTGAATTTTCTTTTTGTAATTTATACTTACTCGATTATGAATCAAAATTAATGGAAGTGTCTAATGGCTTATTGTTTTAGGTTGTACATTTTAAATGAATACTCCGTTTGTTGAAGGATGGAATATTGTTCAAACATTGGGCGAAGGGACATTTGGCGAGTATGTTAAAATAATATATTTTTTATATACAATCTTAACAAATTCTATTAACATTGAACTAGGTACTTTTTTAGATTATTATTCTTTGTACGAATAGTTAATTTTATGTCAGAAACTACAATTTTAATTTTGATTTACCTATATACATTAACATTTTCAAAAAAAACATTATCCATAATCACAATAAAAAAGAGTGGTTCACATTAAGATAAAAAAAAAATTGATATTTTAAATATATCCCTTATTCATTTAGTGCCTATGCTTTAAAATTACTAAAATTAGAATTTTATTAATTAAATTTATTAGGAAAACATAGGAGTGATCAATGAGCATATTTGGTAAATTACCACTAGTGGAAATATATTCAATCCATCAATTAATTCTTGTTTTATATGTACCTATCTAATTCATTTAAATAATAAAGCTTATGAATTCTTAATAGAAACAAAGATTTACTCCTCCAAATAAGTTTATTAAGCTTCACTTACATTTATAATTATGTATGAAATGTTAATTTTTTTTCAGCTTGTGTCTAACTAAGGTTCTAATTATTTTCAGAGTAAAACTTTTAATGAATCAAAATAATCATAGCTTTGTAGCCATGAAGACAATAGATTTGCAAAACTATTCTGATGCATTGGATGCGGTAAAAAAAGAAGCAGCTATACATAGCCGATTGAATCATTCAAGTATAATAAAATATTATGGACAGCGTCATTCTATTGATACTTATTATATATTCTTAGAATATGCATCTGGAGGTGAATTATTTGATAGAATTGGTAAGGTTGTTTGGCTTTATTTAATGTATGAATTATTTAAATTCTATAGAGACTTAGTATATAATATATAACACAATCATACATTAAAAATATGTTATAATATTACACAATCCATACCTATATAGGTACTGGTACATTTTCTTTCACTTGTAAAATAACTGTTAATTTTTTTTTAGATGGACCATCTCTATAGAATTTATAAGATTTCATTATTTTATGGTAATAACTAAAACTGCATTGTTAATACTCTAATATGAACAAATATATTTTTTTTTTAAATTAGAACCGGACGTTGGAATGTCGCTGTCTGATGCTAGAAAGTTCTTCAAAGAGTTGATTGCTGGAGTTGTAAGTTTTTAAACAAAAATCATTTTATTATTCTTTTTATATGTATTTGCATATAATTTACACCATTATTTTTTTAGGAATATTTACACAATAATGGTATAGCGCATAGAGATTTGAAACCAGAAAATTTATTATTGGATGAATATGGAAACCTAAAAATAAGCGATTTTGGATTAGCCACTATGTTTCTATGTGGTGGGAAAGTAGGTTATATTTATGTATACTTTATTTTTACAAAAAATGAATCATTTAATGAACTGTTTCTTGTAACAAAAAATAATACTTTTCTATTCTCTATTTCTTTACATTAACACAACCCCTATAAATAAATATGAATTATAAAAATTGGTCAAATTAATTTTAAAATAAAGTTTTATTCATAAAAAAAAAAAATATTATTAAATAATAATTCATAGTATTTTAAAATTATTATATTACTTATCTAGTTCATGCAAGTTACATATTATCCTGCCATGTTCTGGAATTTAATAGTATTTTTTTAAAATACATTATTTTTGTAGGCAAGTTCCATGTGAAAAAAAAATTAATCAACTACAGAATGTTGATAGAAAAAATTAATAGGATGTTACACCAGCATATTATTTATATATATATATTATGTTATCAAAAATTGTGTTTATAAAATCCATGTGTGTTGTGAGTTTCAATATTATAGTGAATTATTAGGCTATTGAAAAATGTATAAATTTAAAAATTATATCTAGGGCATCTCTTAGGTTTTTACTGAAACATTAATTTTAAAGTAAGTTACAGTCGTCGCCAGTAAGATAGACATGCCTGCAATATGATTACAGAAAACTAGGTTCTTTGTTTTTGGATTTTATTACCAATTAACAAATAGTGGCGTAAATTAGTAAATATCCATCATATTAGTGTATTCCATCTTTTCATTATCACATTAATCTATTAATATTGTTGTTGTCGGCTGAGATTATTTTTTTTATACATTTGTGATAAACAACCTCTTGAGGCACGCCGAAACACACAGTGAGTTTCGGCTACACCTACTGAAAAGCACCGCCGTGCCAATCTATCTGGCAACGACTGTATATACCTAACTATGTAAAATATTAGTTTTGTAAATCTCTTTAAAATTAAAATATGAGATGCCCAAGATAATTACCTTATCCTTCAATTTAATAATAGGTCAATTCAACCTTAAATAAAAATTAACAATAAAATGGATTCAGCTGAACACAATTTTGTTATGCTGTACGTTTGTAAGACGGAGACAATAAATGCTGGTGTATTATCTTCTTAAAAGAATATATACTTTCACTATACAAAGTAAAATTAGTATCAATATATTCAGATAATAGTTAATTTTTTATTAAATTAAAAATGTATTACTTAGTAATTAGTTATATTAAATTTAAACCTGATCCCTAGACATAATTATTAAATATTTTACAATAATTTAAATAGCGGCGTAAGCTGGATAAGAAATGTGGAACTATTCCTTATTTAGCACCAGAAGTTCTTTCACTTTTACCTTATCAAGCAGAACCTTCTGATATTTGGGCATGTGGTATTATACTGGTTTCGATGCTCGCTGGAGGTAATTTATTATTCTCAATTAAATCGCTTATATTGCATACATGCATTTCAGCTTAACTATGTTATACTGATAAATGATAACTAATTTGTCAGAGTTGATCTCTTTGGTATTCTAGCTGTAGGTTAAATTTTTAATAGACACCCTAAAGCTTTAGTACCAAAGTTATTAGCATTTGATACTGCATCAATCATTTTCAGTATTGTAACTTTTAATTTAAAAAATAAATTGTATATATGTATAATATAATTGTTAACTTAAAAAATTTCTCAAAATTATATTTAGGCAACCATCAATATTGAAATTTGTTTGTTTAACTTATAATTAGAGCTCTTTCTATATGTTCATGTAATAATATTGTGTACCTATATATTTATATATCTATATATTTAAAAATGAAATGCTATTAGGTTTTATTTTATTTTTTAGATTGTTGCTAATTATTTGAACTATACATAATAGAAAATACTTGTGAAAATATATACTATACAGTATATACCAGCATACAAGAGAATATTACTGTTTGCCGGTCTGAGGCAACACCTCCCCCCTCTCACTTTGTCTGCAACGGAATACCGTGTATAGCTCCTAATGTTTACAAACCATTGTTGATGAGTCCCGGATGATAGGGGTGAAACGTGGTACATGGTAATGTTCTCTCATGGGCACAAGTATATAATACATGGTTACTGGAATTAAGTTGATTGTAAAATTAATTCTTGAAAAATATCACTTAGATATATTTAATTATTGTAATTATTGAAACGAAAAATTATAATTTATTAAATTTAACATTAAAATGTTTTATGTTTGTTTAGAGTTGCCTTGGGATATGCCATCTGATAGTGATGAAGATTATAAATTGTGGAAAACTACTGACTATGCTAATCATTCACCATGGAAGAAATTAGATAATTTAGCCTTGTCTCTTGTGAGAAAGATATTAACACCAACACCGTTCAAAAGATATGATATATTAAAAATTCAGTCACATCATTGGTTCAAAAAGTCAGAAACTCGAGGTATATTTTTACTTAATCAATATAATTATTATTAACACAATTTAATACACATTTAAGCATCAAGTAACTTCAGGGTAAATAAACTACTAATATCTGCAGTATAATATAATTATGTGTGATTAAATAGCTATTTTCAATAATATTTTAAAATAAATTAAACTGTATCATTAGTGTCAGTATAACTCAAGACTATAATTTTTATTTAGATAGGAAAAAAGTTGGAATTTCCGTTCGGTCCGGCAGAGATTTGGACGATGGTCGTCAATGTTATTCTCAACCAGCTTCGGCAGCTATTGCATTCGATACTTCCATGTCACATAGTGAATCTGAAGTACGTTCATTTTCCCAGCCAACACAGGTGGACGATTTGCTTTTGTCTTCACAACTTCTTACATCACAGCCCATCTCCACACCAAATGTAATTAAAGATAATTTGTATTATTTTATCAGATATACTTAATTATCATATTTTTAGAATTCTATGCAGAAATTAGTCAAGAGAATGACAAGATTTTTAGTCAATTTAGATTACAAAGCAGCATTATCCAATTTAGAACTGTTCCTGGATGATTTGGGATACATATGGAAGATCAATACGCCTAGTTTGGTAATTTATTTCTGTTATAATATTAGTTATTAGCTAACACTTCAACACCAAATAGTTTAAAAGTTATAAAAAGAAATAAATAGTTAGTGAACACGGAAAAAAATAAATATTATTGGCAAAAACAAACATTTCATTTCATTATTTACACATTGTATGTATGGTATGCTGTAGTCCACAAGAAGTTGATTAGAGAAGGGTGGAAAAGAAAATATTGTTTGTATGTTTAATAATATACTGAGAAGGATGGTCATGTGCATCATAAAATATAAGATTATTAGCTGTGAGCGGAGAGAGAAGAAATAAAGCCGTGATTGTGTGATCATAACCTAATCAACTAGGATTTAAGTTTGATGTAATATTATGAACTATAGTATTGCTATTTTCTTATAAGAGAATAATAATGAAGAGGTTGCTTTATTTTGTTTCAGTAAACGCATATGAAACAAAATAGACAGTTGTCACGTTTGGTCAGGCTATTTTTGGTATTGTGGTCCCATTGGAGATAGAAGTCTGTGTGTTGCGCACTGAGATATGGAGTTTAATGAGACAAGTAGAGATAGGCCATAGAGTGTAGATCATTGTTAATATAAAACAGCTGTCACCTCGGATGTAGATAGAAAATAGAGTTGCAAATGATCAGATCAAATTATATTAAAGCGTGAAAGGGACAAAAGAAAGAAAATACAAATAATTAGTAGAGGTAAATATACTATAGTATAAAATATTGTATAAGTTTTGACTTTCTAGACAAAATATTACATTGAGTGGACGTGGCAACAACACATGTGGATGTCACGTCCTCTTAACCAAAATTGAAAAATGTTTTCTTCAAATTATTATTAAATATTAAATTATTGTAGTTAAACCTATTAAAATATATTTGTTCAGAATGTAATGAAAAAAAAACAATATTATTTAAGGAGATATTAGGGTTAATGGCTGGGTGACTTCATTGGGCCGGACTCGATATAACTGCTTATCTTATATGTGTATAATTTTTTCACACAATAATTTACCCATTAAACATTTTTATTTTGATATTTGATTTACGAATAATTATCTGAGTATATGGTTAAGACAATAGAAATATCAGAATTTAAATAAAACGTTTAAATTTTTGGAATAATTAAAAATACTGAAAAAGGTAATAGCCGGTTGCGATAACTGACTGTTGCGGTTACATAACAAAAATTACCATTATAAGATTTTAAATATTTAAAAAAAACTAAACACTTAAGATATATTTTGGTCTCACTAACATCTTTAGTGCATAAAAACACATCACCTTCGTACAACAAAAATGCAAAGATATACTTTAAATGCAAGTAAATTAATGCATGAAGCGAGCAATATATAAGATAGGCAATTACAGCGAGCCCAGCCTAATGACTTAACACATCTCTGTTCAATTCTTAATAACTCATTAAATAATGTGAGGGGAAACGTTAAACCTATATTAATTTTCTTAGAATTGAACATTCTTTCAAATAAAAATAACTTATTTTTTGTGTTTTGCGCTACGTTAACATATTACAAACTAATAATAATTATAAATATTGTACTATGTTGCAGCTTACAATAACTACTACAGATCAGCGCTTGGTCTTTAAATCAAATGTAATTCCAATGAATCAACAAACTCTGATTGATTTCAGACTTTCAAGAGGCTGCGGTTTAGAATTTAAGCGACATTTTGTTTCCATTAAAAATTCAATGTCTACATTGATTGAAGTTGCATGGCCTATTGCTACTGAAACTATACCTTAAATTATTGTTAGTGTTATGAGTACATATAAGACTGACTTATAATAGATTGATTAAAAAGTATTAAAAGGTATTTGGTACCTAATTCAGAAAAACTAATGTAATAATAAGCATATCAATCAAAGATATAAGTAAAATATGTACAATTGTGTATTATGTATGTTATTAATTACATACAGGTAGCATAGATTCACTGAATCTTTACTTAACTAAACTATTACAATTGTATGGCAACATGGTTTCTCCATTTTTAAAATTATCAATCATTAGGCTATGAAAATTACTTATTTTTATAAAATGTATTTGTATACTCATTAAATTTATACATATTATTTTAAATGTGTGTTGTTTGTTTTGTTTTAATCTTATACTATTGTTTTTACATATTATATTAATATAACCATGTATAATTATTAAATCTATTATTTGCTATATGTTATAACTGCTAACTACTAAGTTAGTAGTTAGTACTAAGACAACAAATATTAATGAACAAATTTGAATTTAATTATTTTACATTTAGATAACACGCACTTGTCGTCCTATTGAACACTTTAATATGTAAGTACTAGGTACTCATAAAAGCCAGTTCACATCACTTTATAAATAATTCAGAGTTCAATTTTTTTTTTTTTTTTTTGTCAATATTTAATATCAATTATTAAATCGATTTTATAATTCGGGTGGAATGAGAATTAAAAAAACTTATAAATATTTTATTTAACTAACTAAATAAATGAGCTCAATAAATATTTAGTAATAGGAAAGGCTGACCTTCAACCATAAAAAAAATTCGTGCCTGCTGTACAGGTGTTGTAAATCTCTAGTGTACTTCGCCATTGAGTATTATAGGTCACTATAAATTGTATGGATGGTTAAATTGAAATGCAATGATAAATAATTATATATGAAAAATGATTCTGAATGGAGACGGTATTAGACCAGAAAATAATATATTCAGCTTAAATAAATCGTAATATGTATTTTGAAAACTTCACTGCGTATAGTGAAATACAATAATATACGTAAAAGTTCCAAGTTACGTTGTTGTTCATTATATAAGCTCTGCTGTGCGCTGTTATCTGTGTCTATGAACTCAAACGGTAATACAAACCAATAATTGGCTATCAGGTATTTATAATTATAAGTGCAATAGGTAACTAAAAACTTGATGCTATCGGTTTCTCTTCTTATCTGATTTCAGTTAGGGTTTTACCTGAGTAAATAATTTACATTATTTTTTTCTAAATAGTTTTTATATAAAAAAATTTAGTTAGTCTCATATTTAGTCTGCATTTACAGTATTTAACCTGATCATCTATAGCACCTCTTCGGGTCGCAATAAACGTGGTAATAATCGATGAACAAGGATACACCATCGATCATGGCAGACGTTTAGCAATGTTCTAAATCAGCCAAAAAAAAAAAAAACCGAAACCATGATTATCGACGTCGTTATCATATTCAACAATTTATTTTATATCTATTAAAAATCTATTAACAATTACCAACAATTGATCTGTGTGTACCATAATGGTGGTAAATAAGATTTTTTTAAAGAAAAATAAATTTTTTTTTTTGGGGGGGGGAGTCAGAACCCTAGAACCCTTCCAATGCGTACTCCACTGAATTCTGATTCATTTGTTTTTATTTCCAAATTAATAATATTATATTGTTATTTGTTACACAATACATATACCTACCTCGTAATATCAGCAATATAGGTACACAAAAGTATAAGCTAATAAATTATTATTATTATTAATTAAGTTCAGAGAAAACAACACACTTTCTGTTTACGAATAAAAATAGAAAAGTTAAATTGCATCCAAAATATTTTATTCTTTTAGCCTATTAATTTATAGGTAGATAAATCTATAACTGTTACTGGAAAAGTAAAAAAAAATCAAGTACAATACACTGAATACAGTGACAGTGAGTGATACCCATTTCCGTACATCTTTAGGGGAATAGCAAATCAATTTTATGTACCTATTTTAAGACTTAGGTTGCATATTACAAATTAACACGCAGAACCCCGAAGTAAAAAAAGTATTAATTTTCATTATATAAATTGATAATATTGTATATATAAATTAATAATTATTAATTAGTGAAAATAGTGAAATATACAAAATACATAGCCATATATTTTTGTTTAAACTCTAACTAATTGCCGATTTCACAAACACAGTTCATCACGATTAAACTTCGATTACGCTTAATCGGCTGATAACAGATATAACAAAATCGGCCGATTAAACTCCGGTTAACTTTAACCGTGATTAACTGTGTTGGTTAAATCGGCCCTAAGTTGTTACTGGTGCAAGTAAAAATAAAAGTTTAGTGTACCTATAATGTAAATATATTCAATATTCATAATATCTTTAAATATCGATAAATAATTTTTCACTTGGTCAAAATTTTGAAAAATATGTAATACAAAGTTTCTCATATCTTATTATAATAGGAATTAAAAATAATCAAAAGAACATAGGTATTATAAAAGGGAGGAGTTCAAAATCCCGACAATGATAATCCCGGATGGTCAAAAACCCGAAACCAAAATCCCGACAGTCTAAAATACCGACCATTTTTAATATCGACAAAATAAAATAATTTTATCTTATCTTATAAAAGTTTAATTTAGTAAGTACCTATATTATCTAAAACGCTCAATTATTTGTCCCGAGTCTCAGTGAACGATTAAACATTTCAAATGAACAAACGTATTTTTGCGTGTTAATTGTATAGTACCTACCTAGGTACTACCTTTGTTTTAAATATAAGTTAGAAGTTTTTTATTATGAGTTAAATATGTCAAATTGCCCCATCTCAAAAAAGGAAATGCCAAAATATGTGTATATATATTTAAATAATATATATAAACATATTTTAAAGATATATAAAAATATATCAAATAGGAGTGTCTTGACGCCACTGGTCAATATGTGTCGATATTGGCGACCCGCGAGCAGCAACATTTTTTTTCTATGTATGTAATTAATATAAATTTAAAAAAAAATGCAATTAAAATAATTAAATAATAATAATAATGGGAGTTTTAATTCAAAATTAGCAAATTTTCAATTCAATTGAGCAAATTTTCAATTCAATCTAATATCAAAACTCACAGCATACTGCCATACTATTGAAACCAGGGAAAGAAAATTTGGTATGCCGGCCGTGTGTAAGACGGATACAACACACGCGGACGCGTCGTCCTCTTAGTTTATTTCGAAAAGGCCAATGTCGTAGCTATAGATTGTGGTACCTATCACCCGTATTGGATAATACGCGGTAAACCAACTTTATACCTTACCCTCGTACGCTCTAGGCTAATGACTGTCTCTAGAATAAATTCAGATTAGCACTGTTAACCTTTGATGTACGATGGTAGCGTTTTGTCAGTTCTTCGTTCGTTTCCTAAATTGGAATGACTATTAGGACGCCACAACCAGAGCACTGTTCAGTTTGTAATAAACCTCATTGACTATAGGTGTGTGGGTCTGAGCACTGTTCCAATATTAAAGGTGAGAACGAAGAAGACTTTGAAATAAAACTCAACTTGGGTTTTTAGGTCGGAAACACTTTTATTGTATTAAAACAAACATAAATGCAAATCCGGATTGCCTAGCCCGTACTACGATCGACGTTTCACACGTACGACCACAGTACCTACGTCCTCGCCGATTCACTCAGCGACAACGGGACTTCTCGTGCCTGCGCGTACGGCGGTTTTATATAGTAAAATCTATTTTGCTGCCTCAGCACATATTGCTTCACTGACCTATGTCAATAGTTTACAATTTAAAATGTTCCCACCTCTACTACATATATATTAAATAATATCTTGACGACTGTCTACAATATACGACAAGATAATACGTGGCCAATGTCAACAGAGGCCCATATTATATCAATTATAGTCAAAACTAATTTGGTCATATTGCATAATAAGATACATAATAGACCGTTTTAACACGTCATGAAACATAACACAATTTTAATGACATAGGTCAAATAATCTCCATTTAGTTAAAATCTGACATTTTTTGTACCAGGCCACAGATATATATATTATATAGGGGAGAGTGGGGCAGATTTGAATGAAATTTACATTTTATTTTTTTAATTTTTAATTTTTTGACAAATTTTATATTTGATAATTACAATCTGTAGTCTAGATAGTTGTGAATACTATTTGACTTATAACAACCTTATATATTAAATAACCAATTTAATTTCTAATTATGAAGTGAAGTATATTTTTATTCAAATGTACCCCACCCATGGGGTACATTTGAACGTGCAGGGGGTAGATTTGAATATGTGTCTTAAAAGCCACATTTGAATGTTAAATATTAAATTAAATTAAACTTTTTATTTATTTTAATAATAAAAATAGCTCAATATAATATAATAACAATTTTTTACAATTATGTTTAGATGTTTTCTTGTCAATTTTTTTTTTATTGTGAAAATGTAGTATTTTTGGGGTTTCTTATAGATAAATCCACATCTTGTGACATAAATCCAGTTAACTAGTATATTCCATCCATAAGATAGATATTTCAAAAAGGAGGAACCTTTATTACACCCTATTATCTACCCTATTGATGAAGATTCAAATCTACCCCATGCCAAAATAATCAATAATAATCGTAATATAAATTTTAATAATTATAAATAATGTATGTACATTAAATGTATTACTAGGCAACAATATTTTGAATAGGTATATTTAATTCTAAACTTATTATTTTGAATTTTAGTTTCCAAAATGTTCTTATGGAAACACCTATTTTTTTTTTTAAAAAGCCGGAAAATCACATTATCATTTTTATTTATCACAAAATTATTCAAAAATGCCTGATAATCACATATGGTATACAAAATATTGTCACCAACTTAGATTATTATTTTTATGAATGTAAATAATCTGTAACAAATTATATTAGACAAATTCAAATGTACCCCGCATTCAAATCTGCCCCACTCTCCCCTACTATATATGATTTCTAAATTTATGTATTTATTAATATTTTAGTTACATATAGAAAAACATGTGGTAGAATATGACAAGAATACCTATAAAAAATAAAAAATGTTTTTTTAGAGTAAGTGAATATTTTGATATTAAGCTAAAATATCTCTAATAATTGTCTGTTAATTACTACAGATTCTTTTTAACATAAAGCGTTAGTATATAATATCTGTTGTTCATTAAACCAAGCTGTCAATTACATAATGAACATGTAGTATATAGTATTCAAATGGAATGGATAAATAGAGTACAAACGAACAATGTTGATGTATTATAATAACTACTATAGTTATTTTATAAAATATTTATTTATTGTATTAAAATTATTATTATATTTATGAATTCTATATTTTAATTTTTATCAAATTATCTTAAGATTACCAGTCGTAAAATAATAATCTTAACTAGTAGTTATCCAGTACAAAAATTAATATCTTGCCACCACAATGCCAGACGAATAATTATATTTGTATATAGTGTGGGAGGGATGTACTATAGGACCACGGTCAACAGACAAAAGCTTAAAAACATAACAATATATAGAAACGTTGTGCTGTTCCACTGTTTGAAGCTGCAGGGAAAATGTACTTAAACACATGGATAAATGTACTATTATTGACTTAATTATAATTTATAAATAATGACATAACAATAAAAAAAAAGTTAATAAAAAATTAAACGAAAATCTTTGTAATAATTAATAGCTACAAAATATGCTAATGAATAATAAATACATTTCTGTTAATATTTTACATAATATAAACGAGGAATTAAATATATCTAAAAATATTGTGTATCTTAATGTCTAAATGAAAAGTTTTGAAATTAAACTAATTTAATAGTTTACAATGTACTTGGATTTTCTTAAATACTAATAAACTTAAATAAAATACTTAAATAAAATGTTGTGTATATATTTTAAAATCGTCTTCATTCAGCTTCAAAGTCCATGTAATCACATTCAGAGAAATAAGTCGTAAAATTATCAGCCAAAAACCTGGAAAAAAAATAGTATATTTTATAATTATTTTAATTAGTACACAGTACACAGTATACATAATATTATTTATTATTATAATCAGTTCTAAATTTATAATCCGACCTCAATAGTGTACTGACTTATAGTTATTGAGCTCCACTGAACTACAGTATACTATGGAACGTGCATTGGGAAAAAAAACAATCTCACCATAGTAGGCTGCAATTTTGATACTTCTCATAGAATAAGCCACGGACTAAAATAAAATGGACTGGAAACGACTAGGTGGGCGGGTGACGGCACATAAAAGGTTCCTCTGTTACCGTCAATAGTCATAATTGAATGTTTTCAGCGCTACCAGTGGTTTTATTTAGCGTCACATTTTGTATTTCACTCCGTGTTTTATACAGATGGCAATGTACAATGTACATTTCAGATTCAGATATATGGGGGGGGGGGGGGTGTGAGAAAAGCACAGTCCATTTATTAATATGTCTATGAAAACATCAAAAATGTGTACTCAGTTTCAGCAGCAAAAGAGAATTTTTAATTCTTTTAGAATCCTGGCATCGCGACCGCTGATATCCCAAACATTTTTCACTGATTTTCGAGCTCTCATTAAGTGAAGCTGCATTCACAGCTACGTCGTGTGTCATGTCGTGTAAATCAAATCGCATTGTGATTGTATGTAACTTTTTTGGTATCATGTAATAACCAAGTCGCAACCGAGTATACCAAGAATTGACTACAGCTCAAATTTTACTGATATGTTTACCAGTCGTAACTTATAGTTACCACGCCCTCGCACGACAAGATAGACGACGTAGCTGTGAATCCGGCTTGAGCCTTCTGGTTATTTTGTGATACCATCCTTAATAAATTAATTCTATCTATGAAAAATAATCGATAGGAACACTAACGGAATAAAAATGGCGGCCCTCGATATAGGGACACTTTTCAATACTTACTTTTTACTATTCGTACTTTTCAATTATAAACAATACGCCTTCCATGTATAGAGTTCAGTGTTGAGCTCTCGTTATCGCCTATCAGTTTTATGACCAGTATTTATCTTCTATACGATTTAACAATACGATCAAGGTGGGATTTATAAGGTGTAAACACTTGGATTGTTAGTTGATTGAAAACATTACTCGAGTTAAGTCCACCACCTAATCGAGTTGATTACCCGTTAGAGAAGAAAAAGTATACAGCTTCTTATGCGGAATTTAAGCAAAACACAATAAATTACCACCGTACTCGGTAAAATAATATATAAATAATAAATTTTTAACTACAATTAAAAATATATTCTTTATTCATGAACAAATGTATTATGATTGGCTTAATTGGTGTGAAAGCAGCCTTGTAAAAAGTAATTTTAAAATCGTGTTTAATTGTTTAAATACCTACCTACAAACTAAAATACATCCATTTAGGAAGTATTTTAAAACATATTTTCAAATAGTTTAAAGAAAAGGTATTTAAGTGCAAACACAAATATTTGGTATACATTTAAATATTCTTCATTTTACGTTTGTACAATTAGGTAAGAAAATGAAAATGATAAAGATGTAGTATAATTTTATTCTTTAATACTTTAATTTTAATTAAACAATATTCGGTTGTTATAATATAAAATTATATTATTGTTTCACATTTCTTAATAAAAATAAATTGAAATACTTAATATTATATATATGTATATACGTATATTATTATTTAAAATATAATATAAGTAATAACCTATAATATAGGTACAGTTAATGTATAAATTCTGAATGTAAAATATAAATACAATAATATTATTAATTTAACCACATTATTTTATTCAATTTTAAATATAAATACTTCATTAGGTAATAGGTACAACAATTTATGAAAATATTAAATGACTACGGCAAAATTGTAAAATATGATTATGTTTGGTCGTTTGGAATAAAAAAAACATATATTGGACATTAGGAACTGTTTGAATAAAATTTATTTAGCAGGTATTTGAGCTCATATTATAATATTATTTATGAATATAAAAATATTCATGTTATATTTTTATTTTATATAATATGTATCTATTAATAAATAAACTATACTTCATACTTTTAGTTATATCATATAATAACGCATTTTTAGAAAAAAAGTTTAAAACTTCAACAATTTAAATTAAAATACCATTTAGATCCATACAAATACCAACATTTTTTATCCTCTACCCGCTAGAGTCTAGCGGGTAGGCAGCAAACTTAGCGGCGTATTTAACTGGAGTAATATTTTCCATAACTTTATCTTAGGCGAGCGGTGGTCGGGGGAAATTGTCCGAAAAATGAGAAGGAAGTTTATAACCAGCATATACCAGTAACCCAGCAGTGACGCAAATGTGAAAAAAACATAGTAAATTATTTACAGTGATGCCCGTGTTACCTATAGCTCACTTCGCAAAAAATCGAAAATATCCCCCGACTTGCTATGCAACACCACCACAAGTTTGTCACAGGGTAACTACCGTATTCTTATCTTTGTATACGAAAAACGATTCTGAGCAGTGACGGTTTGTCAGTGCGGATATTTTATATTATATTATTTATGTTATTATTATTATAATACGGTGGCCGGCAAGTTGGATTAATATTATAAAATTACAAAAAAATAACTAAAATCGTTGTTATTGGATGCCTATTTAATATGTAATTTCGTACAAATTTTAACTTAAAAGAACCTAAATAAAAATTTGATGGTACAGATACATTTTTAAATTCGTTTCTATAGTGATAAAGAAAGCGTTAGAAATTAAAATATCGATTTTAGTAACTTGTTGGTGGTTTTTCCCGTTGCATTAAATAACTATTGATAAAAATCAAAAAAGTACGATGTTGATCCAATTTGCTAAAAGATAAGATACTATATTTTGAAATTGAAGCACTCCTTCTGATAGAAATTTGGTATACAGAATAATAAAAAAAAAAACACTAGCTTTTTTATTTGCGTTATTCTTATTGTTATTTATAATTATAAAAATGGAGAGTGAAAATGTCGTTATACATTATTAATCGAGAACGGCTGGTCTGATTTGGCTCAAATTTTTTTTTAAATGTTCGTAATTGCCAGGAGAAGGTTTTTACGAAAGAAAAGTTTAGGAAAATCCACCGGAAAGGTAGGAAATCTGGATGTAAAAAATACAACAGGGGCGCAACAGTGTATTATATATTGGTTAATCGGGTATGTTTGATATTTTGTATTAATATACATAAAAATGAATGTTTGTGTATATATTAGACCTCTAGGAAGAAGGCAGGCTAATTTAAAAATGATTAAATTTGGTTTTTATTTATTTATCTGATTTTAGTACGGTTAGGTTAGGTTAGGTTAGGATTTTGTATTAGTTGATTATATTGATCCACCATAGGTGAAATACGACAAACTTGGCATAACTTTGATACTTTACTACTTTAGAGTTAAATCATACACTTTCGTACAAACAGCACGGGGTCTGATAATTTATTATATAATAATTTATTTACTGCTGCGAGTCAGAATTTTTATTCCGGGCAACGGAAAAATTAAGATAAGTTTTGAACACCATACACCGAATATTAAATAACGAATTGAACAAAGTTCAAGTTTTTGGTTACAGAATAAACTACTTACGCGCAACCTTGTTTTAAATATCCAATCCTTAGCTATAAAAGTTGATCATTTTCTAAATTTTTAATGCCATGAAAAACGAGTAGTTGGAAAAACTATTTTCAGCAAATTTGGTGTTTGGTAGCGTGATCAGAAAAACATTTTTAACTCAGTGCTGTCATTTAAGTTTTATATAAAAAATTGTTGAATTAGCTTCTATGCTCTTTACGAATCACATTTTTGATTTAAAATCAGAGGTGCCCAAAATAAATACAAATGGAATGCAATTATATCATGTAAATTTTAAAAAAAATCTTAATTTTAAGGTCTTAAAATTTAAAATTAATTTTCTATAAAGCCTTGATATTTTGTCAAAAAAACCATACATAAAAAATATAAAAAATTTAAATCGAACATTCAGAAATATGTGTAATTTACCACCGCTTATTGGTCTAAAACGTATGCAAAATACGTGTGCTTCAATCTCCTTGAATACATTTTTTATTCAAATTTAAATCATACAGTTTAATTTTATTTTTCAAAAACAAAATTACAAAAGTAAAGATTTACGTTTAGCAATGTAACATTACACACTTAATATAGGTACACAATATAACAAAATTTAATAGTAATAATAATTACAGGTAGGTATATTATTATTTTATTTAAAATAAAACCATATGCATGACATGTATAATATTTTATATTACAAAATTTGAATAAATATAATTGACTTTTGTGTACCTATAGTCATTATAATAGTATGGAGTACATATACAAAGGGCGTACACAGGAATTTTTTAAGGGTCCACATTTTTTTAACATATAAAAAGTATACAATCAGTAGTTTGCGCTAAAGAATTTTAAATTTTGTCAATCAATGGGGGGGGGTCCAGACTGGAAACTCCCTCCTACTTGGGTTCTCCCAGGATATATAGTATTATAATATAATGTGGTTGCACAAAATTTCAATTAAATATTTAAAAAAAATGAATATTTATACCTTAAGACATAGGTAGGCTAAAGATTGTTAATTAATATAATACCTGGGCCAATTATGAATAAAAATTACAATGGGACAGAGTGCCACACCCTGCCACATCCCTAAATGGTGGATTCTGTGCACTCCATGTTAATAATTGTGGTATGCAAATCACTGATTAGACCATGTTTAGAACGGTATTTGAAAGCAGTGCAGCACCGCTATTTTATAAATGATTGTAAACCGTGTATACACCTAAATTGTTACTTGGGAATATGTATCGTATTTGTTTCGTACTATGCTATTCTTATATTCTATACAACAATATGCAAATGCTACATGTTCTCTGCCCTAGTTATATAATCTATATTGCCAACCAATATTACGTTATGTTTAAATAAGTTCACCTAGAAACTAAAATATATTTTATAATATTTCAGATTTTGAGTGTAATCGTCGTATGTATTTCTGCGGTTTTTAACAAATTTACAATAAGAGGTTTAAAATTTAAAAAGGGGAGAAAAATGGTAGTCAATAGTCATGTTAGTCAGGTATACGAAAGTTCCATAATCGAATTATATTAAAATATAAAACAATATTCATGATTAATGGTCCTGTTTTTTCTTTTAGATTTTTCCATTTATTAAGAAAAATAATTTTGAAGCTAGAAATTACTTTTTTTTAAAGAATTTTTGGGTATTTTTTATGATTAATGTTTTGATCAATTTTAGGGAATTAACCGTAAATAAAGATTGTGGCGGAATAGTGAACAAAATATGTCATAAAAATATAGTTACGTACTTCAAGTATTACAGCTCATTAAAAAGGTTTTAAGTAAAAATATCTATTATAAAAATTGTATACAGGAGAATTTTATATAGAAACGTGAGAAGCCCGAATTTGGATATTTTTTATTAATTAGTTAAATAATTAATCGATAAAGAGCAAACTATTTAATATTATGATATAATATAATCGAACTAATAACAATATAATTTTATACTTATTTTGATGAGAGAAATTACATTTATTTGAGTAAGTTTTTAAAACTTGGTACTCATGGAGAATAACTATTACGCAGTCTTTTCAATGTTGACGTCAGTTAATCTTAATTCTTTAAAAACGTAATTTTGGAGAACCAAGTTTCACATATGGACTCTAACATGGTGGCTAATTTTATGGCCAGTGTTTCACAGTTCATGTATACTTATCCAAAATATGCAAGGCCCAAAAATTGACTATTATTGTAAACAGCGATAAGCCATGTACTCCATTGTAATCTCCAAATAAATCATAAAAATAGATAAAATATCTATTATAGGTTAGGTTAGATTAGGTAAAACTAGCCTTAAAAAAAAATATTTTTGGCGGTCCAGTTATTTCCTCCCGCGGGGTGTCTAATGTCGACCCCCGTCTAGAATTTAAGCGGTCCCAGCAATTCTATTAAAAACTACGATTAAGCTTTTAATCATGTTTAAAAATATTCATACGTAATATGATGTATTTAAAAAGTATCCTACCTTTTCTTCAGAAAAGTACAACATCTTTGCTCGAACTATTGAGAAGAGAGTTTAGATATGAGGTCACACTTACAATGACAATTTTAGTTTAAGGGGATTGGAAGCGGCGATTATCTGTCTTTGTCTAACACACGTGCAACATAGGATTATAGACGTGTTATATTTCCAATGTATCGATAAATCTAGTGAAGCAATAAGAACTCTGTAAACAGAGTTTGAATTTGTCGTCAAGTTTACTTGAGATCGACTTCCTCACATTTTTGATATTATCCCCCAAAAATCATAAAAATGATATATTAAAAAGAGTAATTAAAAAATTTCCATATTTCAATTTTTGGAGAAGTTTTAATCAAAATATCAAAAATGTGGGAAAGTCGATCTCAAGTAGACTTGACGACAAATTCAAATCTGTTTTCAGAATTTTTATCGCTTCACTAGATTAATCGGTACGTTGGAAATAGAACACGTCTATAATCCTATGTTGCACGCGTGTTAGACAAAGACAGAAAATCACCGCTTCCAATCCCCTTAAGAAACAACAAAAATTACAAGGAGCTGTGCTGGGAGAGCAGATGGGTTGAACTAGTTAAGCTATGTTTAGCCAAGATATTTTAAATAGGAAGTAGGGGCTGGTGTTATTGTAATGAATCTGATAAGTTACTGCGACCATAAGTTTTGCCTTTTATAACCCCTATGTGCCTATATCGTACATAAGTACATGACATCACAAAAAGGATAAAAGAAACTATGAATTTTGAATAATGGTCATACCCATCAATTTTTAGAACAGAAATGTTGTCCCATACGTTAGATTTTGTGCAGTTAATAAAAGTTGGAAATATTTTTTAACTCCCGACATATACCTAAGACAATACAATTTTTTTTCTTGATGAAATTATATATTTTGGTTGTTGCACTCTATTTTTTCTAGTACTTTGGTTGTCATTATAAATAATTTCAACGGTGTTTGTTTAAATGAAAAATCTAAAAGTAATAACTTACCTCAACAATTCTTTAATTTGATGAACAAAGGTCTCTAAATCATAGTCAGGAAACCACGAATTTGATAACAAAATTGTTGGTAAAGCATCTGAAAAATAAATGTCAAAATAACTTATGACAAAATGTATTGCAAAATATTTTCATTAATTTTATTCAATTTTACTTAAGAAAAAGAAATTGATAATTAGTTTTACAGTTAAGGCTCCAGAAAAAGCGTTTTTTCAATATTCTGCAATTCAATACAATTTGAAAATAATATTTTACTTTTACCTTCATTAAACCTATTCCACTAATCTACTGCCCGATATCTAATTGTGTATTAGATCAACAAAAATAACTTCACAGGAAAAAATATCATGCCTCATTAATATGTTGAAAATGATAATTTGTTTTTTATCTGAAAGATGAGCACTTTATTTAGGTAGGATCAAAGCCCAAATTTTCATTTTACTTTAAATAGAGTTTGAAAAATCACAAATATTGAGCTTATTTTGCATATTTGCATATTTTTGCTTCCATAATTATAATTTGAGAATCGAGCTTTGATCCAACATGCAAAATGTTCTTCTTTCAAATACAAAAATAATTAACAAAATTCGACTATTTTACAGGGTGTGAGTTTTTTTTTCTGTAAGACATGTCTTGCCACTAAAATTTACCAGCTCCAACACCTTTAAGACATTTTATTTAAATCTTGTTCCGTTTTCTTACCTAGGCAAGGAATGTACTAACATTATTTCAAATTTAACCGAAATTAATTGTTAAATAGAATCAATATTTAAGTTACTTAATATACGTATAACTGTAAAACTATAGGATTGAGTAACTTTTGTGAAATGGACATCTCAATACCCAATATTAAACATAAATATAATTATGAAAAATAAAATTATAAACTTACAATAGAATGTTAATATTAATAAAACAATATTTATCATTTAACTATAAATAATCAAATTGTACAAAGACATAATACAAATTTATATATAAGTCCTTAAGGTTAAACATAAAATAATGTATTTGTGTTTGATACATACCAATAAATCTTAATAGATACATTGGACCATACAAATAACACCAAAGGTTTTTGGGATTTAGTTGATGTTTAAACCTTTCGTTGATTGATGGTCGAACATTCATTCTTGTTTCATAATATGCCGCGCCCTTTAACAGACAAAATAACTAATATAATACATAACTTTTATAAAAAATGTTTTTTTACTCATTATATGAAGTTAAATAATTTCATAATTAAGAACAAAAATCTTGTTTTAATATTGCAGTAATTAATACACTATAGCAGTATAGCTGGTATAACAAATAAGACATTATATAAACTTGTGCTCTTAGCTATACAATTGTATTGGAATTTGTAATCAATGTAAAACCAATTAAGCTTGTTATTTCTCTTTCATTATGATTGTATTGAATATTGCTAAATTTAATGTAGAATTATAACTAAATGAGAACGTCTTTTGATAAGGAATAAGAAAATCAGCATGTGGTACCAACCATTTTTTTTTTATGAAGGAAACATTAAATTCTTGTTTATATTTCTGGGCAATTCTAGGCGATGAGTTTTTAACCTAAGCTTCAATTATTATTTTGTAAATATTCAAAAAATGTCAATTGTAGAAAGTTGAAACATTTCATTGTCACCTATATTATCCTTTTTTTGGCCTTATTAAATTGTAAAAATATTAAGTCTTATTTACAGATATTTATAGTCATTTTTTTTATATCAAATTAAATATACATAGGCACTAATATTGTATTTTATAAGCATTTTAAGTCCAAATTTTAATAAATTCGGACATATTAATCAAAAATAACAATTTTAGTTATTTGGTTGTAGTTTAAATTATTTTATTTATAGAGACTTGATACTACTACTATTTGTTACTTTATATAATATTATTATCTTTATCATAATATTATAACGTGGGGTTATTTTGTTGGATAGCTATATCTGAAGTTCTACAGAACCGATTTATGTAATTTTTGTTTCAAATGCAAGTGTTTGGTTTGTTGATAAGTCATTCAAAGAGTCAAGTTAAAAATGGCAGGTAAGTGGATGTCGCTCAGCTGTACAGTAGGTTACAAGTTGGTCATTGTTTAATGGATTGTATTAAACTTGAATTCAATGATATAATATCATTGTATGAGAAAAACGATTCTGAACGGAGACGGTTTGTCAGTCTGTGTATTTTATATTGTCATTAATTATTTTATTTATTTAATTATTATTTTTTTTATTCGTTGCTAATTAAAATTAAAATCCCATTTTAAGCGGTTTTTCGTAATTTTTCAGTACTTTTTCCCGTGGCATTAAATAACTATTGAGAAAATCGAAAAATGACCTCTCTAAAGTACCATCTTGGTCCAATTTGCTAAAAGATAAGGTACTATATGTTGAAATCAAAGCACTCCTTCTGGTAGAAATTTTGTATACAGGATATAAAAAAAATAAAAAAAATAAAAAAATAAACACCAATGTAAAACCACTAGCTTTATTGCTCCGCTCAGAATCTAAGATATATTAATTAAAGAGTTATTAACACTATTTAGTATTTTGTAATTCTGTGTACATCAGTGCCAAGTGGTGGAAAACTGTGATTTTTGGTGGGAAGTATGCTTTACATGTCAAACCAGAATACATTAGTCAACTTTATCCAGATACTACATTTTGTGTGTATATACCTAATGATCTTACAAAGTTTATACATTATGGCTGAAGTGTATTTTTTTTTCTGTCCCTGTAGCTACAGGACATTACAGTGTTTTAGTTTTAAATAATAATATTAATATTTAAAATTTATTTATTTTACCTAAAACAATAAATGCAAATATTATAAGCAAGCTAATACTCATTCTTTAACAAGAAGATATGAGAATCGTAAAAACCAAAATCAGATAACATTAAATTAACTTATGAATGTGTTTTATCATTCACTTCTATATTTTTAATAATATTTATAGATATTGGGAAACTAAATATTAACAAACAAATTTAAATTTAAATTCATTTGGGTATGGAAATTACTTATAGAAAACCTCAGGGATTAGAGCTTTAGCATTCACAATCACTAATTCACCACTCACTAGCCCTTGTTATAAAACACCAAGAATAATGCGATAAAAGAATAATTTCCTTATTTTATGTGAGATTTTTTTTATTTGAGATTTTTTATTAAAATAAAAAACATTTCAAAAAGAGTGTTTACTACATAATTAAGTTATTTCAAATTTCTGTTACAATTCCAATAGGTTCTGTTTTCTGTACCATGTGAACTTAGTTTTTCTAGTACAAAATTAAAAATTGGTTGAGGTCTGAGGTCAAGTACCTACCTATGTTATAGCAATGGTTTACAGACTAGTCCATTTTAAAAATTATTATGGATATTTCAAATAATATAAAAACAGAATCAGTGTTGGATTACCTACAGCACAAAAACAAATAAAATAGATTTAAAATAATACATTATATTCTTATGAACCAATATCAAACAGCTGTTATTTGGATTTGTTATTTAGTTGGAACTTGTAAAATATTAAATTGTAATAATAAGTAAATTAGTTACTTTTTAAGTGTAATAAAGTGTAAGAAATACAATTAAATAGGTAATAATAATGTAGAAGTTATAACAAAACTTTGTTGTTAATGATTTTGAAATGTATGATAGGTGATGTAGAGCGCAAAGCCCAAACAAGTTTAGTATACATCATTCTAGAAACCCAAAAAAATGTAACTATGGAGCGTCTATAACTTAAACATTATCAACAGCTGATAATATTATTTATATGAAATACATTACAATTATAACATATGCAACTTGTATTTTCAAAAATCAGTTTAAACTTATATATTCCTAAGAGTAATATAAATATGTAACAAAATATCTTAGAAATATAGCCTGACAAATCAACTACGTTTCAGATAAGTTTTTGGTATGAAATGATTAGTTTTCTGAATTCAAATTGAATACATCCATAACAGTGACTTGCTCAATGGAGTACACCTTCAGTACCTATTATATAGTATATAGTAAAATGCTATTATATTTGCTGCCTTAGCTGTTAACTAAATTTTTAATTAAAAAATAATTTTCAAATTTTTTTAATTTCCACAAATTTCTTAAAATCTAAACATTAAAAACTAATAAAAAAATATATTGATTATGTATCTAAGTCACGGACTAAGATATAATGGACTGGAAATTAACAGCTTATCACTGGCCACGAATGTATGTACAAAAGGCAACCCCCGTATTTTAGCCAGAATTTAAAAAGCCATCTATATAAAACACGGACTATGATACAAAATGTGAAGCGAAATAAAACCACTTATAGCGCTGAAAACATTGGGTGCCTAATGTGAAAAACCTTTTGGTGGATGACCACCAGTCAAGTGTGCCATGGCTAAAAATAATAAAATTATGAGTAGTGCGCCATTAGGGAAAAAGGTTGGGAAACGCTGATGTATACACACCAAAATTATTATTTTCAAATTATACCAAGATGTCAATTAAATGCTAATGTCTACTATAATATGTATACACAAATACAAAAATCAAACATCGTGGTAAAATCAATACATTTATCACCCTGCCAAGATCGATTAATAATTTTTTTTTTCATTTTAGAACTTGAATGGAAATTATTAATATAATATAACCAAGTGCCTATAGAAAACATTTTATATGATCAATTTTTTATCATTACCTTTTTTGTTGAGTAGAATCTTTTCTCGGTCAGGTATGTTAAACGATTGTGAACACAAATATTAAAATATTTCATTAAAGTAAGACAGAACATCGTTGAATTTTTTCTAAAACAAATATAGCATAAAATATTAATCAATAAAAAAATTTAGATAGCTATTAAATAATTACTTTTGGTCATCATCTATAAAATAAGATGAATTAGTGAAGGTATAGATTATTTCTGCGAAACTGTTTCCCTTTGCAAACTTTAAAACCTAAAACCAAATAATCAATATTAAAATAATATAACTATGATGTATAAAAATAAAATGTGTAGTACTTTTTGGAATCTGAAATGCATCAAACGGTCATAATCCAACACTCTTTTTAAAACTGGTGGTAGTTCCATTTCCCTAAACAACTCGATGGCAAGTTGCTAAAATAAAAATTTGATTTAAATAGATACCCAACTCCAATTTTTAACTTTATATTTTAAACTATTTGTAATAGAAGGTACCTCTGAACGTGGAACAATCTCTATTACGTCATTTTCAACAATCTGAACAGCTGCTTCAACTTCAGTTTGGATAGATTCTCCTACAGCTGGTTCTATAAATTGTGCTATAGCCTGTTCTGCGAATTGTGCTGATGCTGGCCCTGCAAATTGTGCTAAGGCTGGCCCTGCAAATTGTACTGTAGCTGATTCGAAAAATGTTTGTACGGCTGAATTTTCTATGGCAGGTTGTGATGTAGATGGCCCTGCAGTGTTCTGCAGTGTGCTGTGTTCTACATTTTGTTTTGGCTTGCCTAGTTTCAACAAAACATTACAATGGTAAATATTGAACATAAAAAAAATATAAAACATACCTCGTTTTTTTTTTGCCGGTGTTGAGGAAGAAGAATTTTCTGGTGTCCATGGTTCTTGAGATTTTTTAACTCGTTTTGATTTTACATCTGTTTCCGAAAATGTATGTATGGATGATACGGCAGAATTTTCTACAGCAGGTTCTGCGAATTGTGATGTAGATGGCCCTGCAAACGTTTGTATGGCAGATTCTTCTAGATCTGCAAATTGTGCCAAGGTAGGTTCTGCGAATTGTATTGTGGCAGGTTCCACAAATGTTGGCATAAGTGATTCAACAGATTTTTCTACATCTGGTTCTGAAAATTCTGTTGTAGCTGGTTTTGCGAATAGATCAAAATAAGGTTCTGCAAATTTTATTAACTCCGATTTTTCTACAGCTAGTTTTGCCGAGGTAGGCTCTGAAAATCGTGTTGTGGTTGGTTCTGAAAATGATAATTCTGTTTCAGCAGATTTATCTACGGCTGGTCCTGCAAATTGTGCTGTAGCTGGGTCTGTGAATGGTGCAAAATATTTTTCTGCGAATTTTAGTATGTCTGTTTCTTCTATATCTAATTCTGTAAACTGTGCCGAAACTAGCCCTGCAAATTGTGATGTAGATGGCACCGCAAAATTTTGTATAGCTGATTCGGCGGATTTTTCTACGGCTGCTTCTGGAAGTTGTGCTGTAGCTGGTTTTGCAAATAGTGTTGTAGTGGGCTCTTCAAAATGAAGAATGGCTGATTTAGCAGATTTTTCAACGGCTGGTTCTGCAAATTGTGCCGGAACAAATTTTTCTGTAGCTGGTTCTGTAAATTGTGTTGAATCGGGTTCTACAAATATTTTAAGGTCTGATTCTTGTACGGCTAGTTCAGCGAATTGTGCCGGAACTAGCCCTGAAAATTGTGTTGTATTAGATTCTTCAAATGTCCGTATGGCTGCTTCCGCAGAATTTTCAACGGCTGGTCCTGAAAATTTTGCTGTATCGGGTTCTGCGATTCGTGCTGAATGTGCTTCTGCAAATTTTTGTATCCTTGACTTTTCGACGGCTAGTTCTGCCAATTGCGCAGGAGCTAGCCCTGCAAATTGTGTTGTAGTGGGTTTTTCATAAGTAATAACAGCTAATTCAGCAGATTTTTCAACGGCTGGTTCTGCAAAATGTGCTGTATCTGATTCTATGAATTGTGCTGAACCTGATTCTGCGATTTGTGCTGAATCTGGTTCTGCCAATTGCGCAGGAGCTGTTTCTGGATATTTTAGTATATCGACTATTTGCACAATTAGGTTCTTTAATTTTGTTGAATCTGCCATTACAAAATTTACTGGAGCTGCTTCTAAAAATTTTGCTGCAGCTGGTTCTATAAATGTTGCTGTAGCTAGTTCTGGAAATTTTGTTGAAGCTGGCCCAGCGGATTGTACAACTTTTTTTGCTGAAGATAGCCCAGAGGATTTTTCTACATTTTTTGCAGAAGATGGCCCAGCGGATTGTTCTACATTTTTTGCAGAAGATGGCTCAGCGGATTGTTCTACATTTTTTTTTGGCCTGCCTAGTTTTAACAAAACATTACAATCACAATTATGAAATACAAAATAAATATTGAACTGAAATAGGTACTTACCTCGTTTTCTTTTTTCTGGTTGTGCGGAAGAAGCATCATTTGTTCTCCTTGCTTTTTGAGATTTTTTTACTAGATTTGCTCTATAAGCTAACCTAAATTAAAAAATATATTAAATATCTGCTTTAAATAAATGGTGACAAGTAGAGCTCAGAAATTGAAGGATTTAAAAAATGGAAAAATATGTATGTATGTATGTAAAAATACATGCATATGTAGGTACATTATACAAATATGTATGTAAACATGCATGAAAAATGATAAATTGCTTAAAAATATTTATATTTAGAGCAGAAAGAATAATATGAAACTCCTATAATTACTGAGTCCTAGGGATAAGTTATGAGTAGTAATAATTAGTCATTTACCGAACAGATTCTAAATTTTTCTTATGGGCCAAATTAATTTTATTAATTTCCAACACCTCATCATAATCAGACCATTCATCCCATCTTTTCTTAAAGCCCGTGTAATGAACATAGTACTGTATTATTCCTGTGTTCGAAAATCGCCGGTCTGTACATGTTGCCTCGTAAAGCAATCCATCGAAGTATGCAAGGACTTTGTCACCTAATTAAGAATAAACATTACAATTTAGAAATAATAAACAACATTTTATGCAAGATTTATTCAATTTGGTTATATTGAGAGAAGTTGGGGTTTTGCTAGGCATCTAATTTATATGCAATTAAAAGTTACAATATGTTTTTTTTTTTTAATTATGGCCAAATAAGTGGTAAAATATGCTTGTATTCAAAGGCCGGACCAAGTGGGGGCCAGCCAGGGGCACAAATTTGACGTAATCATTAAATAATAAATTGAAAATTGAAAATCAAAGACAAAATATTTTGATATGCTAATACCTGTTATTAGATGGATGTTGATTAATACTGTGTCATAAATTAAACACTTACATTTTTATAATAAACCCTAAATGCACTGTTGATGTTAATTATATTGACGATTGTCAATGACTGGTACCTAACGAATTATACCGTAAAGTAATATTTATTTATAATAATGTCTAAATTTCTACACATATTAAAAGTCGCAAGGAATATCAATGTGTTTCCCACACTAACAAAAATTAAAAGTAGAATGTGAAATGGCTATAAATTTTAAATATTTTCAAAGCCTAAGGTAACAGTAAATTTAAATAAACTATAATACACATACACTGAACATAAGCTATCATATTATTATATTTAGCTATATGGCTACCTCAGAAAGTTTAATTGAATGCATCAAAAATATATCTACAATAAAATGGTTTTGATAATACATTAAAGTAGGTAGCTAAAACAATTTCAATTTTAATATTATAAATATATCCACCGATTTTCCAACTACCTTCCAGAAAAATAAATAGAAAATATATGACTTAAAGTTAAATGAAACTATATTGAATGTACAATGCTATCAATTTCTAGGATTGGACTCTATTATTACAAGTCTAAAATTGAAATTTGAAAAAATGTCTAATATGCCTATCTTCAAATTTCTCATTTTTGTCTGGACAAAGTTTATTGACTAGGGAAATAGGTAGGTAGATGATATAAAAATATGGTCAGATGATCTAGAATTGTTATACTATACAGTGTTTATTTTAATTTTAGTGAGTTAGGTACATGTTGAAGGTCAATAATTCAAGTTTCAAGCTTCTAAATTAATAACTTAATTGTAACAAAATAGAAAGTGCAATCTCTTTATAAAATACATACAAAAACATTCTCTACAAGATAAATACCTAAATTTGGAAGCGGGATTAAGAGGATATGTTTTAACAATGTCAATTACTACAGCTTCCACCATGGTTCAAGAACATCTATTAAACTTAGCTATACTTTCAATTGAGCACAGAATTAGATATAAGATGCATTTTAATCAATTATTATAATTACGTGTACTCATATTTAATTTGAAGAGTACAATTATTTTGTTATTTTTATCTTTATTTTGAATTTGTAATACTTCTTAATAGTTTGTTATTGTATCTTAAATTCAAATAATAGACTAAAGACTAAAGTAAACATTGATTATGCTTATAATTAAATAAGGTAACATTTAACTAATTTTTTTTTTTTTGTGGGGGCTTAAATTTTTATTTCTCCAGAAGTGCTGCTATTGTTCCCAACCCTGTATATAGCTGTTTGAGGAACACCAGACAATGCACAGTGATTTGTGATTAAGTTCCATGTAATTAAGATAAATATGATGTATAAATGACGAATAAGATCTAATCCAGTGAAGTAAAGGTTACCAAAGCTATAATCAGCCAGTACCTATACGAGTCTATGAGAACAGCACAATTAACTCGTTAAAACTCCTTAGAAGTCAGTGTATCATATATATTTCGAGTTATATTTGCATTTGATGATGAAATACATTTATTATATAGGTAGTTCATTAATACCATATTATGACAACATAAATAGTAATAGGTATATATAATAATATATATATATATAATAGGTATATAATACCTACCTACATATCTACCTATAGTTAAAACCAGGGGTGGCTCGTCAGGTGAGACTTTGAGACTGAGTCTCCCCTTAAAAAAAACCAGCTACTTGAAAGGAATAATTAATTCAAAATAAAAATGTATTGAAGTTATTGAAAATATATTATAATAACATTTCCTTTGTTTATTAATTAGGTAGGTATTATTATTATTATTATTTAAGGCTACAAAATCTAAAACCTATAAATAGTGATTTTGATGAACATATTATTTTAGTTATTTGGACGACAGTCGCCGATTCAGTTAAACTGCCGCCTGACAGTTGCAATCGTAACATGTAAGGCCGGGGGAGAATAAACCGTGTACTATAGACGCTATTGAAACATTATATTATTAAGCCGTTGCCGTACAGCAATGCTGCCATCACGGGCGTGCCGTCGTTAGTCACTGTGTACGCCTTCATAACGTTTTACATTTAATACTCGTAGAAGCTAATTTAAGTCTCCCCAGAATATTTACTCACGAGTCGCCACTGGTTGAAACTTGTTAGATTTAATTTTGGCAATTCATTAATATACCTAGGTTGTTATAATATTGAGTTTTCAGTGCATGGAATTGATTTGTTACATTAAGCATATCAACACTTTAAACATCGTCCAAACAATTGAATGGGTAATCAGCAATATAATATACCAAACCTGGGCATGAACTTCACCGTAAGGTTATTGTGACAAAATGAACACTTACCAATTTCGAACTCGAAGGTTTCGTCGTCTGCGCCCGCCATGTTGCTGATTAGCTTTTAGTGTTTATTGTTTACTGTCTAGTTTAAGATTGCTCTAGGCACTAGTTGACTGTTGTTGACAGCACTCCGCCGTAGCCGGTAGAATCGGAGTATGCTTGTCTGATAACGTCGTCACTCTGTGTCGTCGTAGTATACTTTTCTAATGGCTTCGTCCCTCTGTAGCACAGATTTATAATATAATACACTATACGGAAATCTCTACATTACGGTCGGCCATACAGAAATGTGTGACCTATGACGCCCTCACTCTTCTCGCTCAGCGCCCGTCACTCACCAAGCCACGTCATAGCCAATAGGAATAGGATGTTGTATCGATCGATTCGTTGTGCGCATGCGCATTGTTTTCGCTTCAATTTCGTACGACGTAGTACTCAGAGATGTTATAAGCAGGTAGCGTCGTCTTATATACCGTCCTTGACATTTACTACTGGACAGTGAACTAATGGACAGCGCTTAGAGAGAGAAGTCAATGGTAAGATATATAGTGAGCGAGAAAAAAAAACTAAATAGTAAAATGTATACAATTCCTTATGCGGGCTCCTTCACTACTTCATGTTCTTTCTCTCTCAGTTATATGGTTATATGAACGCTTAGCTTTGAAGGCAGGGCGGAATGGAATGCACTGTCCATTAGCTTATACTTCATAGGTCTATATGTTCTGTGATAATATGATAGTGAACAACGAACATTTAACTAATTACCTAAATAATTGTCATGATAGGTAGTTGGAGGCACATATTAGTGAGACAGGGATTAAATTATTACTATATTTATATATATTACCTATATCATACATAACTCTGTATAGCGACATAGATAATATTTATCTTTATTATCTATGGTATTACGTGCTGTCCAAAGTAAATCCGGCGAGTGAGTGCGATTTCTATTCTGACCAGCATGTTCCAATATTGCGGCCGATGCAGCGAAATACAAGCTGTTTTTCTACTCATCGGACTCAATTACTTTGGACACGACCAATTATTATTACGAATACGTGAAGTGAAATATCGCATCATTCATCGATTTATCCATTTGAATTGATACATTATAATATAATATGTATGTCACAGACTTCTAGACTATTGTTCTATGATACTACACTAGATAAGGAACTACTATACAATTACGCCATGTCCTACGTGAACGCTGCGAGTGCGGGCGAACTATATTATGACATTGCTCCTCCCAACGCGGCGAAAATCAAAACAGCTTGTACCTATTTCGCCGCGTCTCGAGGAACAGCATGGCCAGGGTAGGGTTCGCCGTCGCGACGCGTCACTCACGTAAGGCCCCGTGTTACAACTGAAGCTCAGCTGTGGACGGCCGCCATTTTGTCGGTTGACAAAACATTTAATCTATTATACAAAATGTATTGGGAATAACATCGTTTTTAATGGCAAAATAAAATAGTAAATGTAAAATGAGTTATATAAACTATTTTTTATTTTCAAAACTACAGGTCTAGAAATAATAAAATACAATACAAAATAAATCATAATTGATCTTATTTGGTAGGTATATAAATACCATATAATTACGCGACATAAAATTATTAAAAACAATTAAATAATAATATAATAATATTGTATCATTTTGAATGAAAGACTAAAATATACAGTATATTACAGGGATGGCCAGCGTTAAGAGTCACGCATATAATCAAAAATAATATGATGAGCAGGAAAAGGAATAACAGTATAATACCAATTATTAGGCAGTGGCGGAACTAGAGGGGTGAAGCCGGGGGGTGATGCCCGGGCGTAAAATTTTAGTGGGCGTAATTTTTCTTTACCTAGTTCTTTATTTAATGCTTGGTGATAGAAGTTAAGAAAACATTTTTATTTCACATTATTTGTTTATGATGTTGTAGTGATGACGTTGGAATTAATGAAAAAAAAAAATAAAGTTAATGGTATTATGAATAGTTTCGTATTAGCATACTAAGGGCCGTTCTTACAATGTCCGGTAAAGTGTCGGTTAACGCTAACCGACTGATAACAGATTTTATTACCGGCAGAATTCGGCCGGTTAAGTGTCGGTTAATCTTAACCGGACATTGTCAGAACGGCCCTAAGTATATACTAGTATACTGGCATTAGCATACCTACTGCAAGCATAATATATACAACTAATATACTATAGGTAATTATTAAGATTCTGAGTGAAAATGTAACTAGTAACTATACCTAGGCATTTATTTATGCTGTGTTTTCGTTAAAATTTCTGATACCTACACAATAACTGTTATAAGATTATCAATCAACCGATCAACGTACGATACTTATATTATATCTGTATATTGAAAATGATGTTAATATATAGTTTATAATATTATATATTATAATATTTACCAAGATAGTTATACATTTGTTTATGTTTAAAAAAAAAGATTTGATTTTAAATATTTACTTTTTCATTTTTTCTATTATAAATTGTTTAATTAAATACAATTTTTTACTGGCCTAAATTGTGTACCCTAATCAGAATAAAAGATTTTATATTTTACCATAAAAATCTATTATAATTGAAGGCTGAGGCGCATAGAACCAAAACAGCAAAAGGGTTTATAATTTTTATACAGGTTTATTTAGGTAGGTAATTAAAGTTTTGATTATTTTTCAACATTTATATATAACTAATATTATTATTATTTCTAATAATAAATACAATTAAGTAACCACTACAGTATTTCCAGTAATTAAAAATGTATCAACAATATGTTAACTAAGTTTTTAAATTTAAAGTGTTTTTGGTGTGATAGTTTATTAGTATAAACTTGGTTACACCACAGTCAACAGAATATATTAATTACTATGTATTATTATGTGTTTAAAAGTTAATAAGTATGTTTGTAATTTTAGTTCCAGTTATGATAAAACAATTGTAGGGAAATATTGTATTTTCAATCTTAGTCTATGGTTGGGCTTAATTTTAATATTTTCCCCGGGCGTAAAAATTCTTAGATCCGCCTCTGTTATTAGGATATTTGTGAAAAAGACGCTGGCACTGTGTGTCGTCCATGAGTCATGACGCGAGCCGCAGTTTGACCTTTGCTATATTATAATAACTATTCTGTCATGACAAAATTGATAGGTATGTCCACAACAATACGTGACGTGGTCCGGTTAGCGCATCCCACCCGTCCCAACCATAGTCGTAGGTAGTTCACCTCATTTCACTGGCCTTTAAATTACCCGGCCAACATGCAGCGGTGAACCAGCTAGTAGATGAGATGAGGAGTGGTCGGCAAACACGATACGTATCACAAATGTACTGTCATACCTATCTATTTTGTCATGTATTCTGTGTACCGCGTACAGACGGGCGGTCAGAGTCTAAATTATAGATAAGATAGAAACTATAATGGTTGGGAATCTGGAAAAGTCGATTGCATGAAGATTAGAGACAGGCGCGGACTGGTAAAATAGGGCACGGGATGCTACACAATGTAAAGAGCAAATAACAAAAAATATTGGGGCAAATTTAATACATGTAGATTATTTATAAAATATTAATATATTTTATTTTGTTTTAAAAAAATATTGAATATACGTTAAAAACGAAAATAAGTACCAAGTTATAACTAACTTTCAATCAAAATTGTACAATATTATAGATTACTAGTAATCGGAAGTTGGTAACAATCTGCTGTTAATTAGGTGTCTGGAGTTTTTAAATATATAATAAATAATATTAGGCAAATATACAACCAATAACAATTAAAAGATGCTTTTGAAAATTTGGGGGTGCTAATATGAATTTTGGGGGTGCTAAGCACCCCCAAGCACCCCCCAAATTGCGCCTATGGATGAAGAGACAAACTCATTGATATGCGCTCCAAAGGTTTTTTGATTCGGCCATCAGATACCTAGTCTTTTTGCTCTTATTTCAACTTTAGAAAAAATAACGTTACAGACTTTAGTATCTGAAGAATTAAATGTAAATACAATTTTTTCTATAACTTCAAATTCATGGACGGACACAGCATCTTTCCCATTTGTTGGTTGTGAAAAACACAATATGGGTTTGACAAAAAGTATTGTTCGCTTTTTTATTACAATGCGTATGCATTTTATTGTAAGACGTTCAAACTACAATGAAACTACAAAAAAAAAGGAAAAAACCAAGTGTAGTAGAAAGTTGTCAAAACTTTAATTAATATATTATTTTTATATTTACCATATCTGTATTTTATGTTTCATTTATCATTATTAATTAGACTCATAGACCGTAGTCATTATATAATGATGTGAATTTTAAACTTTTTTTTATAACAAACACCTTTTGAACTTTGATTATATATTTAGGTATACTTTAACCTGACCAGCTAATAAATATTAAATCATAATTTATATTTCATTCGAATTCAAAAAAATGAAAAAGAACGTACATTTATAGAAAAGTACGTATAATAAAATATGGTAAAACGTAGCACTGCTATCGAATGACGCGCTCGTGGTGGCAGAATAACCGTGCGACTTTTGTCGGGCCATATTTTGTATACGGAGTTTGGTCTCCTTATCTCTAATATTCATGGACGTTTGTCTAAAAATGTTGTTATCGTTATAGGTAGTAGGTACCATAGACATAATATAGAATATTGTTTATAATAAAGACTAAATTATGTCTATGGTAGGTACTAGCGTTAGCGCCTTAGCGGTGTTTCTCATCGAAATTGAATTAATAAATCAGAAAAAGATTTATAGATGACGTATTTCATCTATAAAACTTTCTCTAGCGCTAGGCATCTTTTTATTTTGTGTCAAACAGCAGCTACTATCTACGCACTTACTACTGCAGTGGCATACCACCACCCCCCCCCCCCCCCCGAGACCAAATGTACACAATACAACATGTATATTATTATAATCCGAACGGTGAATTTTGCGTGTACTGATGTCTATTAAAAATTGTATATCCCCCCTTTGAAAAAATCCTAGACACTATAATTGCCCTACAGAAGTCGGTCCTCTGCTCTAGTGTGCAGCAGGCCTGTCAAATGTCGATTGTAATATTGAACGATAGGTATTCTTATCAGCGTATGGCTTTTAGGTACTTACTACAGACTTACTATCTTATCACTGTATACGTGTAAATATAATATATATTATATAGTTATATAATCATATAAAATACCCAAAAAAGTCTATATTATACTTGATTACGTAGTTTCGTTTATGCTCATTGATGTTAAATATAATTTAATATAATATAAATTATAAATTATAACATGGATACGGCATTCCTATCTTCACCGAACATACACTTTAAAAGCCAACATGACGGATGAAGATTCCTACTATGGACGGTGCAGTGACTTAAATATTTGACTTACCTACCTAGTTTGTGATGGTGCTGATACATTTTTGCTTGACTTTCTTTTCATATACAATTTACCCAAAAACCAATTTTTCTAGAATACAGTAAAAAACATCTAATATTTTACTTAAAAACTTTATTTCCTATAATGCATTATAGTCATATATTATGCTAGTATTGTCTAGATACAAACTTTCAAATAAAAATTTGTAAAATTCATATTTCAAATAATTCAAAGTTCAAACTAATTGTCTACGCATCCTCTCATTCGCATCGGACATTCAAAATAGTATTTATTATTGTCAAACTCATCAATATAAAAAAGGTAAGTTGCCTTTTTTAAATGTTGTAATATTACTAACTTAGTTGTTCTTGATCTTATCGTTATTCATTAACAATGTGTTACTGTGTTGTATATTATATCATATCCTAAACATAAACACTGCTACACAACTTCGTGAGTAGGACTTTAAGATTTTCTGGCGGTCCAGAATGATAAGTGTATGCCATCGCAGGTGGTAGCTACTAAACTGGTGGTAAATGTGCCATATTTTTCTCTTTTGCCAGGCCAATTAATGTTATTGCTGTGGTCAATGGTGGTTCTCACTCGCACAGAAGCTTCTGAGCAATAAAAAAATTAACTTTTGAACAAGAGTATCTAAATAAAACAGATATAACAATGTTACGGTTGAAATAGTACCTATAAGTTATGTTGGCTTACTTGATTTGTACACAGTATGCATATATAGAACCGGGTTTCCAGCTAATTTGTCTGTGAAACTCATTACAGGATTGTATTTAAAAAAGTGTTTTCTAAACTGTGGAACTGTAGCCATTTTGTTAGTAAATTAGGTATGTTTACCAAGTTCCAACTCAAACAAAAATGAGCTTTTTAAATGACACTAAGCTTTAATATTTTGTTAGTATAAATAATTATGAAGTACTATAGAAAATATATCATAACCTTTGTATATTTATTAGTAAGAATATTGTTTATAAATTATAATAACATATACTAAGACTAAACATTCATATTATAATTGTCTGAAAAATAAATCTGATACATTTTATGAATATGAACTATTATAAATTATAATCAATAAATATTGAAGAAATTAAAAGTCATATTACAATATTACATGATTTAAAATATGTGTGATCTACAAAATATATATTATACATACATATTTGACAAATTATTTCTTACATTCTATTCTCAATTAATACATAGTCTTTCAACAAGATTTTTTTATAATTAATGTTCTAAATACACAAGTATTAATTATTAATAAATAATAAATATTAACTACTTATAGTTAGATATAAAGAATGTATTTATATATAATGCTATTGGTAGCAACATAACTTTTGGCACACAATTTTACTTTTACATACAGTAAAGTTTCATATTTAAGTAAAGAATTAAAAATGAATTAACTTATTATTATTATTAGATATAAAACTGTATGTACAATCTTAAAATCAAGTACAATGAGATTTATAACAGAAAAATGTATATAGAGTAGTTTTTTATCGGTAGGAATAAACGTACTGAAAAAATAAATGTTATTATTATTTGTAAGTAATTCATTTTCTTTTTCTTAATTTACATTTCATATTTATTTCTAACGAATAATGAGTATTTGATAGTAAGTTACTAAAACTGTTCTTCAAAAGTATTAATATTACCTTATTTAATTAAACTTAAACATATATTAAACAATTAAATGCAACAATATATCTATTTTAAATAATAAAATTCAACATATTGTCATACCAAAATATAGTTAAAACGAAAAAAATAAATCTTATTTATCACAAACATATTTTTATACTTTGTGGCTGAGTACATATTTAGTAAATTATTTATGCTTATAAAATAATGATGTAAAAATACATAAAAAGTATTGGGAATGTACGGTGATTATTTTTTACATAAACTTTAAAGTTAATATTATTCAGACAAAATCTGAAATATGATATAAAATTGAATGTTATGATAAAATAATCACAAACTGTAAATATAGTTTGGGAAAGTTTTACTCAAATTTTGGTTTTTATAACACAAATTTATTTTTGTTTGAAAGCATCTTCCATAAAAATTAAATTTAAAATTGGATATCAAAAATATGTTGGGTGAAAATATGAAACTTAATGAAACAAAAATTTGATTTAAATAAATAATATTTAATTAGAAAAAAATGTTTTCGATGATTAAAGAGAAACCTTTAATACGCTGATCTGAGAGTTTGATTAAGATATACTTTATGTAGGCAATCAAATGTAATAATTTCTGATAATATTAAGGAGTACTCACTCCATAATCATGTCGAGTTCTTCTGGTACCTGTATTAGAAGTACATTTGAACAAATTTTTATTATGTAAGTGACTTGTTCGTACAAAATCTATCACTGTATAATCCGAAATTTCCTTTTTAGGAGGAAGTGGTGGTGGCAAATCATTCTTATTTTTATTGTTTTTAGGTTTACAAACAGCAATTTCAACTTCCGTATAAGTAACTACATCGTTAGGAGATGCATAAGAATTACCATTATCAGCATTGTCCACCAACACATCATTATTTTGATTAGAATTCAGTATATTCTCATAAATAGCGCAGTAAGATCTGTCAGGGTTCAGCTCTAGGTATGGAGATTCAACGTTTGATTGATTGCGGTTTCTTGGTCCACTAAATCTGACTTCATCGTAGACCTCTTCTTCGTGTTGATATGCTTTTGGCCGCAAAAGACCAGAATAAAAATGCACTTCAGAAGACATATCTTCAGCCATATTTGTGTCATTTGAAATCTAAAATAAAAATATTTCCTTAATTAAAAATTGCCGGTAGACGTCATATTATTTACCTATTTATTCATTTTAACTAGGAAAATAATGTAATAGGTAATTGGTGTTAGATATATATTAAAGATTCTTATTATATTAAGTAGTTATTGAGTATATAGAGGACAAACAAACAAACATTCATATGGGGTTGAACTGTTGAAGGGTTATATTACACAATATGAATTAACCCTTCTGTGGTACCAATGTGAGTGCCGCGCTCACCTCGTTAGTATTTTGAGAGCCACTTATTTATTTATTACTTTATTCATCTGATACTATTTATACCTTCAATCAACACATGTTTAAATACTTTTGCATACTTTTGCAAATATAATAATTTTATAAATAATTCTTGATTAGATATCGACATGCAATGTTGTTAATATCCATAAATTGAGCGTTGCACTCACTCAATAGATCAACCAAATACTTTTTCGTAAACTCAGATCTATTTTTAAGGATCACACCACATTCATATTATAATACTGTAAAATAATCAGCAAAATACTCCAGGCCACTAGGGCCAAGATGAATGATAATGATCATATTATTATATAATTATGTATAAAAATTTATAAACTAATTTTTAGTGGTTAACAATTTATAATCAAGAAAAATTGTAAGAACATTTTTTGTAAAAAATTAAACTATAAATAATTAATTGTTCGTTTCAATATTTTATGTTCATTATATAATAAATAACATGAAAAACGAGGTGAGCGAAGCGCTCACTCAATACCAATAGTGGTACTTTGCATAGCAATACCAACGACGGGTTAAAATTATTAACTAACAATTTTTTTTTGGTTTTGGTATGGACATAAATTTATTTATTAGCTGCCTACATTTAACCAATACAATTTATTCTAAATACAATAAATATATTTATTATTTATTAACATATTATAATAATACAATATTCAATAATTTTTTTTTTTAATTTTTACGCATTGGCCATCTATTGCCTATCGGTGCAATTGTAAATTTAAAGCCAGGCCACAAAAAAAAAAAGACAGGGGTGGTAAGGGACACCCTGCACCCCTCTCCCAAATTGGTACCTATGTTGTAAACGTGGTGTATAGGGTACGCCGTATACACCGGTTTACTGACTTAGCGTGTACCCCGACGTATACCCTATGCCCTATGTCCTATACAAGTACAAGATACGAAGGTATATGAGCGTTTACGCACGTATACCTTCAAAATCAATCAATTACATAAGTGAAATAAAATATTAATTACTTTATAAAAGTATGCTCGGAATTACCTATGTAACAAAAAGTAAGTTCAACTCTATCAGGACGTAAATATGGTTAACAAATCCGGGGGCTACATTTATCAATTAACACGTAAATGTGGTGCTATAACGCATTATAAGCTAAGTTTAGGTTAGATAAGACCTTTTTTTTGGAGAGGGGGGCTAAGCCTGCAAAGATCTCCCTCATATACGCCTATGTGCTGAACGAATACCCTAGAAATAAATTACGAATACATCTATTGATACTATTGTACTCCTATTTCACAGTTTTAAAACGCACAGAGCTACATCAGTCCTAATAACGATTACAAGTGAATAAAATATAGATTTTTTTTAAAATAAAAACAGTTGTTTCATAATAAAAAAATACTAATAATAATCGATGATACCTGTAGATGTGCTTTGATAGTATTGAAAATTTTGTCAGCATCTTTGCTTCTAAATGCAAATATTCCTTGTCCGTAGGGAGACAAACGACCAGCCTCGAAGCAGAACATAAAATCCTCATATCCGTAACGTCGGATTGTGCTCAGTGGACATGAAATGGTTGATTTATCATTTGCATAATGCATTACCAAATCGCTATCAGTGATTTCAATCTGACCATGGTTTATTTCATTACCACTATAATCTATGTTTGTAACCTGTAAGTTATTTTCATGCAACAGTAATTAATTTTCATAAAAATATTCGAGGTGATTATTTGTAGGTACGAAAAAAATTATACAAAAAAAAAATGAATTATATATTTTAAACTAGGTACATTAATATTGTTTATTTATTTATTCGTATGGCATCAATATTGTTAGTAAGTAGGTACTCACTTTGAACATAGTCGAAGTAGTTTCAGTCGAACCAGTTTTCCTCTTGCTGGATACACAACCCATTTTTATGTATCTAGGTTTCTAATAATATATAATAAAATATAATATATGCGAATACGATACGATTACGACACGAAACAAAGTAGTAAATAATATAGTATATATTGTATACGATGTATCAGGAGAGTATCGACGGAGGGTTTGAGACGGACGGATGAACGATCAGTAACTGAGAAACCGATAATTAAATGTTATTGGAAATGGGACCGAGTGGAGGCGAGCACCGAAGTACCGAACGGAGCGCGGGATCGCTCGATAGTGAAATACTACAGCAGCAGCAGCTGAGAGCTGATTATACAGAGAGCTGGAAGGTTAAAATCAGAGTTCAGGCAGGGTGCGCTGGGGGTTATCATTTCCGTCCTCACTCTTTAGAGTCAATGTTTAATCTAATCGACCGCCGAACAAACGGGCTATCGACAAAATACATTTGTATTCTATTGTGTATTTGTGTGTATTATAATAATAATAATAATAATATAAATAAGTAATAACACACTAACACAGTAAATAATGAACTACCAATACATGGGTCTCCTTTACATGTTGATGTGTAGCTTGTGCATGTAGCATTATAACAATAATAATAATATAATAAAACCCAACGATCACTGTACGAGTGTAGGACATTATACTTAGGTACATGTATCTTACTGGGGGTGGGGGTTGCTGGTGGGTTATATCCATAATAAACTGCTGGTATGTCTTCTTTTGTTGAGGGCTGCGGACTTGGTCCGAATACCAAAGGGTCGAATTTGTGCGTACGTACCTATATAGTATATATTATATTTTAGTCGCGCCCTGTATTTGACCATACGTATAATGGGTGGGTACCTACCACGAATAACGCACAGTTCACACTTACAAGGGCGCAGCGGGTGTCCGACCCGAAGTACTTCTCGGCACACGAGTTTCTCCAAAAATTCTTAGAATATGCGATTGTCACACAATGATCGCAGTGTACGATCTCCATACAATATAATTTGTTGCCCGAAAATAACATTTCGACCTCACATCGTCTACCGGTCTGTTGTCTATATAATAATAAATTGTGTTGCGGCCGATGTCAACAAACGCAGAGCGGTAGGGAAACGTAATACAGCGTCCGACATTAGTATATAATATTGTACTCAAGCCTAATATTATTTTGCATCAGTTTTTATTATCAACTATTCGGTGGGAAAAATAGCCATTAGATGTATTTTCGTTTTTCATAAGTTCTAGATTACAATTTTTTTTGTTCGGATTAGTGGGTTCCTAGTTTCCTACCCACCAAATACCTGCATTATCACCTATACCATCCATTAGAATAAACCGATAATTTTATTCTCTCATTTTCAATACGAGATGCTTTAACACATATTTTCGTGTTTTCATTTTCTTACATTAATAATAACGTTCAATATAATATGTACTTAAAAATCCAGTATTGGAATTTAATGATTATTATACCAACGATTAGTATATAGTTAGATCGCTTTTATTTATCTCTTATTATTATAATGAGCAATGACACAAATATATATAAATTAGTTTCAAAATTCTCTTTACAATCAATGGATAATTATTATTGATAAAATTATAATTAGGCAGAATATACTATTATAATAATAAAAAAAAAATTACTTTAGGATTTCTTGTAATTAATATAATATTAAATATTTACATGTTATTACTATTATTTGTTATAGTTATGCGTTGTTAGTTGTTAGTCAACGTTCGTTGTATGAAATAGTGAATATTTATTTATAAATAATCATTAAAATAACAATTCACTAATTTAATATGAATATTTGATACAATTATTATTACTAGACGAGAACTTATCAAAAATTCAATAGCGACGCAATATCTAAAATCGTCTCCCGAACAACACAATAAATTTTAATTTAACAGTAAATAATTTGACGAGTGACGACAACAATAAAAGAGCCAGTTATTACATTTTAATTATAATAAATACCAAAATATTTCTATTTTAGTTATACAGGGTGATTTATTAAGCATGTTCATCTTTTTTATGCTTAAATTATGCATGTAGGTATAGATTCTAATTTTAATTTATAACGAAGGGCCAAGGGTTGAGGTAATAGACATTACAATATAGAATTTACTACTTATTGCTTTTTGCTCTCCTAATTTGTTTTCTATGACGGCTCTTAAAATAAGTATTGAGGATCATAACGATCATAATACAAACAAAACAGTGTTCTAACACCCTCCTAAGTAATAAGTATAAAAAGCAGGAATTTAAAATTTCATTGAATATGCTCGTGGCAGGCGCAAGAGCATGCAGTGAAAGTGTGAAACCAGTACACATGCACTGGGCCGCGCTTAAATGTAGGACCCCGTGGAAACGGAGCTCACTTCAGAAAAGCAAACCATTACCAAACAAATGTTATAATTATTTTTAAAATATTACATTTTTCAAACTACATTAAAATAATAATTGGCTTCTATAAAAATTAAAAAATCTCAATAATTTTTAACAATATTTAATATTTTCAATATATTGAAAAGGAATTTGAAACAATCAACTACTTTCAATGTTTTATTCCTCTCTCTTTTCAAAACGTCAATTTTTATTAAATTAAAAATAATACACACTACTTATAGTATAAACTGTAGATTGCAACGTAAAAAAACGTGCTTAAGAGCTTCGATCAAATGCACACTGACTGCTAGTAATATAATTATATTATAGTGAATACATTATCTACATCCATAAATCAAAGATTAATACTTACTTATCTTTAAATTGTCCAGTCGGACAGAAATCGGAATATCACAAGCTGCAATTTGCGTACATTTGAAATATACCTGGGACGCAATTTATTACCTACGTATGTTTAAAAGTCACGGGCCCCAAATTACATAGTATATGACTATAACATATTTTAGGGGACGACATTTACCGACTCTGATATTTTCTTTAGTATAAAGATTAAGTATAGCCAGTATATCCTACGCTTAATTCAGAATAATGAAGGAATTAAAACAAAGTGGGTACTTCTTTGAAGCATGATATCATGACTACCTATTAGATACTTATCACAAGGAATTTGAAAATAAAATTAGTTTGCTAACCAGTGACCTTGTATTTTAAATAATCAATATTTTTATTGTAACCACTTACTTAACGCACAGGTAATGAATTTGTTGGCAGAATCTGGGGATTCAAAATAATTTGTACGCAATTCACAAAAATATTTTATCATAAAAGAAGCTCTACAATTGAAATTGGAAATATACAATTTTCTGATCATATTTTTCAATCTTTTGTATTATTCAATTAAAATAATAATATATATAAAAAAAAAGTAATAAATTTTATATGGGTTTTTTGAGAATATAATTTTTGTGTAGAAAATGACGTCGCATTTTAATTTAATTCACGTATTTAATAATTTTTTTATTTACGCGTGACAACTTGGGCCATTGGGTGGTTTTTAACTGTGGGGGTGGATACTGTAGGTTTAAACACGTATGTACTGTGTTTGTTAGTTTTGCCAGATTTTTTTAGTGGGCACCCGTAAGTATCTGCCGTGCCGGGCGTATGTAATTTGTGCCAAAACCAACCCCTCCGAAAAAAATATATATGTAATTTGCGCCACATCTAAAAATTAATTTGGGTAATTTGCACCACTTTTTAAGGTTGTATTTTGCGCCACACAAAACTTTAATAAAAGGGCAATAAGTATACTGCTCCATCGTGTACCTACAAAAATTGTAATTTCACCTTGTTAAATTTGTAATTTGCTCCACTTTAAAATAACTTAATAATCAAGTTCATTTTAATAGAAAATCAGTAATATTACAATTACAGTAAAACCTCTTTATAAAGGACCCTCTGTTAGACGGAATCCTCATTATAACGGAAAATGTCAATAGTCCCGGTTCAAATGATAAATGAAATTGACCTCTTTAAGACGGAACCTCTACAAAACGGAAACGGAAAATGTTCGTAATCCAATTAGTAAAAATACTCTCTGTTAAACGGAAAATAAAATTATTATCTTATTATAATAAGGTATCATTCGACGTATTGTTTCACGACTGTCATAATGATTTGTTTATTATTAAAGATTATAATGTACGTACCTTTAATTATTTTTAATTTTTAATTTTTAATTATTTTAAATTCTTGAAATATTTTTTTTTTACCTCTCTAAGACGGAAAACTCTTTATAACGGAAAAATTGTTGGTCCCAAGCGATTTCGTTATAAAGAGGTTTTACTGAATAAATAAATGTTTATAAGTATCCGTACTCTATGTATATTAAATAAATATATTATTAGTATTTATGCAATTAATATCGGACTACTGTAAATATCATGATATACATGCTGTTGAATATTGATCGATATTTTGACAGATGATAATTTTTATTAGATTAGACGTAATCGATCTCGTCTCTATACTTATATTATTATTAGAACACAGCAATATTATATCCGGCACGAGTTGGTATTATCGTATTTTCGATGCGATGTCAGTAAATTTATCTGCTTGTAAATTCCATAAATTAAAATTGAAAGTGCGGCCCAGATTACATATTCCATTTCGTTTTCCATCGTAGTGCAAATTACCAAAATTAATTTTTAGAGGCGGCGCCAAAGTACATGTTAATTTTTTTATGTTTTGGCTCAAATTACATACTTGCATAATTAATGTACCTAGTGGTGGTGCAAATTACAAGTAATTAAATTGGAGCAAAATACCATCTCCCGCAGTGCCCGGTTGGGGGATGGCGGCACTTCTCTCCGGACACCATGACTTTCCCGATGAAAAATGTCACCCGCGGCCGAGGTTTTGAACCGGCGTCGGTGCATCAGTAAGGTACGTTTTCCCTGCAGCGTCTGGACGCGGTGTCCAGCGTCACTACCGGTCTGGACGTAGGTCGGCTTCTGACGCGGCCGTGCTGTTCAACTGTTTAACGCTTGGCCACTCCGTCCCCCGTTTTTGTTTTTTATTTATTCACTCATTATACCACTCAAAATTATAT